CCCCAAAACCCCAAAACCCCAAAACCCCAAAACCCCAAAACCCCTAGAGAGGGCATATATTGAACCAGTTTCGGAATAGAACTTAGTGAAGCCTTACATGTTTAGAATCAATAACAGAGGAATCTGGATTCCACCCAAAATGTACAGAATAGTTGCCTTACTGATGTTTGACTGCCCTATGTAATTTCCACCACTAAAGTGAGTATACCTTTTTAAAGTTTTGATCATGAATATACTCAAACTAGATCCAAGTATCAGTAGAGAGCTATAATACAGCCATCTTCCTCCAATAATCATCATGATTGAGCACACTGAGAGAGTTACGAACTTATACCCTCAGATTCATAAGATTTCCATAAATGGGGCATAAGGGACATTCTGACACATTAAGAAGAGTTTGATCATTATAGTTTCACTGAGCCACACAAACAGTCATTTTCCAATTAAATACTCTAGTAGTTCAGGATCGAACATATCCAATGCTCCATGGTAGAATCCCACTACTTGTGTGAAGGTGACCAAAGCCATTAATGGTAGATAAAGATCAACTCCAAAAGGATCGATTTTGGAATTATCAGTCTTAAAATCTTCGTATTCCATGTTGGAGCTCATGTACTTCTCTTCACCCTCGGATTTCCAGTCACCTTTTTCAAGGAATGGTAAAAATATAAGCTTGAACTTGGAATAAATGTAAGTATTATCTACATTGAAGTAAGGCCGGATCAAGTCAAATGTAAAGATGCCTCTGTAGTTCTCTGCCTGCTTAGACACTTGATCTTTGATCAAATTCCCTGCCATATTTTGAACAACTTCATTCGAAGCAAACTCATTAAAGGGGTTGAAGTTATTCTGGTTATTCCCACGAGCACCTGTGGCAATCTTTGGATCACTGAAAGGGTCACTTGTGATATTTGCAGGAATTCTTTTGGCTCCTAACCCTCCTCCATTATTACTAGGATCTGGCAGTCTCATATTTGTGTTTGATACTAAAAATATTATTATGAAAATTAAGGAAAATTCTATCTCACAGCTAAAAAAGGGGTTTTGGGGTTTTGGGGTTTTGGGGTTTTGGGG